GGCAGGCCATGTGATCGCGCCAGGGAACTTGCGGCTGGGTGCCATTGTGCATGCTCAGTTGTTTTGTTATTTTGTGAGTGTGTTGTTATGTTGTTGTTTATTTTGATTCGATATGTTTGTACCTTGTGGGTTGTGGTAGGTGCATGGGAATTTTGGTTAATTTTCGTTGGGGGGTTTTTGAGTTTTGCTGTCCCGTTGGATGCCCCTTACAGATTTATATATATAGATGGAATTAAAACATAAAAGCCACAAGCATGAAAGTTTCAAAACACAATTGAAAATACCACCAAGAGAAGAAAATAAGGCACTCTCTGCCTAAAAACTCCTTCTGCAGCAAGCAATTTTAAATTTTAATCTTCACAATTGGCCCTGCCCACTGTGATTAATTTTTGTGTTTTAATATTGTTGCTCTGTTTATTTTACTGTTTTTTATTTTTTTTATTTTTTTTTCATATTTTTTGTTCTGTTTTGTGTTGTATTGTTTTACTGTATTGCTGGGCTTGTCCTCATGTAAGCCACCCCAAGTCCCCTTGGGGAGGTGGTGGTGGGGTATAAATAAATTATTATTATTATTATTATTTATTTGAAACACAACAAGATGAGTCCACAGCAAACACTCTCTGCCGGCTGTTGAATTGGATCACACTTCCCAAGTGTCTAGGACTGTGTGATGTATTGGCGAATAATGCGTGCAGATCCCAGTAAGGTGGCCTTCTGCAGCTGGCAGATGGTAATTTTGTCAGCACCTATTGTGTTTAAGTGCAGGCCAAGGTCTTTAGGCACTGCACCCAGTGTGCTGATCACCACTGGGACCACCTTGACTGGTTTGTGCCAGAGTCTTTACAGTTTGATTTTTAAATCCTCATATCGTGTGAGCTTCTCCGGTTGTTTCTCTGCAATCCTGCTGTCACCTAGGATTGCGACATCAACGATCCATACTTTGTTTTTTAGCACAATCATGAGGTCAGGAGTATTGTTCTCCAAAACTCTGTCTGTCTGAATCCAAAAGTCCCAGAGGAGTTTGGTGTGTTCATTCTCTGTAACTCTTTCTGGCATGTGATCCCACCAGTTCTTTGTCGCAATCAGATGATATTTGTGGCACAAGTTCCAATGAATCATCTGAGCAACGGTGTTGTGCCTCTGCTTGTAGTCTGTCTGCGTGATCTTGCAGCAGCTGAGGATGTGATCTATTGTTTCATCTGCTTCCTTGCAGAGTCTACATTTGGGATCTGTGGCCGACTTTTCAATTCTGGCTTTGATGGCATTGGTTCTAATGGCTTGTTCTTGGGCTGCCAGAATTATGCTTACTAAATGTCCATCTGAATGAAAAGGTTTTATTTACTGTCAAAAAGACAACAAGGAAAGAGCCAAATTAGCTTCTCAGTAAGGTATTTCAGGGCTCTGGGAGCCTTGTTCAGACCCCCTTTTAAGCATTCCGACACCTTCATTTTGAGTTTCAATAGTTGTGATACATTATCTTTCTTTTAAAGCAAATAAATTGTTTTATGGATGCAAATGTCTACACTTGCCTCTTAATTTTCACCTTCCTCTTGCAACATATGGATCCCATGACTTTTAGCTTTCTCCCCTGCAGTCTCCTAAAGATCAGCTTCAGTCTTCTTGCCAGACTACTACCTCCGAAGTGAGCTTCTTTGTCATGGAACAGATTCCCCATCTCTGGGGTCACATGGGCCATGCAGCCCCGTCAAACAGCACTAGCAGCTCGGTGTGTCACCCATTTTCAGCCTCCTACTCTTGGGTGCCTCAGATGAGTCTTGCAGGAGTTTAATAAGAGCTTCTTTGGGAGTTTAATGACAACCACTTTGATCTATTTTTTTTTTCATTGGGAAGATCTTGCCTTGTATGCCCTGTTTCCATTTGTGTCAGGGCCATAGGTGGTGCTGGAAAAAATATTGTTTATGTTTTGTGGCTTGCAATTGTAAGCAAATGTATGGGGAATTAAAACTAGCGGTAGCTGCCAAGGTCATTTCTTTGAAAGACCCAGTACAAGGGGAAGAAATGGGAAAACTGAATGTTTTTTGGTTGTTGGCTAATGAAATGAAAGGCCACGTAAATGTTTGAACTGCTTTAATTCTTTAAGTATGGTGTGTAACTGAAAGCCTTCAGTCCTGACAACAATCGTGTACATTTCTCAAGTCTGTTTACGAAATAAAGCTATCAGAATCTGATGAAAACCCAAGTTTCTGAACAAGAGGAAGCTAGTATATTGCAGCTTATCACCAACAAAGCTTCCTCAAGACAAAACAAACTGTGTTCTGATTACAATTATGTTGGCCCAGACAGCCCTGGTTTACTCTGTTTCTTTATTTGCCTCAAGAGGTATCCCTATAGCTACCAAACTGTATAGGGGTATCTTTATAGCTACCGAACCTACCGAGGTAGTTAAAGATAACCGTGGGATTGTTGCAAGGCCTGATTGTTTTATAGTTTTATAATTGTAATGGTTTTCATCTATTTTTATTGTTTATTTATTTATTTCCAGTATTTCTACCCCATCCAGTATCTCAACCCCGGAAAAGGTACTCAGGAGGGTTTACATTTGACAACATAACAATATAACAGCAATTAAAAGAATAAATAAACATTCATTAAAACCATAAAACAGTGTTAACAGTATTAGCAGCCGTTTCACCATTCTAGTCGAATTCCAAATCCATATCCAGAGTGCTATTTATGCCAGTTGTCCAAAAGCCTGGTCCCAGAACCACGACTTCAATTTCTTTTTAAAAGACAGGAGGGATGAAGCTGATCTTACCTCGTTGGGGAGTTCCACAGGCGGGGAGCCACAACTGAGAAGGCCCCGTCTCTAGTCCTCTCCAAACGTATTTGCAATGCTGGTGGGAGCGAGAGCAGGGCCTCCCTGGATGATCTTAAAACTATGAGGTGGGATGTAGAAAGAGATGCATTCAGACAAGTAGGCTGGGCCAGAACCGTATAGGGCTTTATAGGCCAAAACCAGCACTTTGAATTTTGTTCAGAAGTGGACCAGCAGCCAGTGGAGCTGACACAACAAGGGGGTGGTATGCTCCCTATATGTCGCTTCAGTTAGTAACCTGGCTGCGGCCCATTGGACTAATTGGAGTTTCCGAACTGTCTTCAAAGACAGCCCCACATAGAGTTCATTGCAGTAGTCTATTAGAGAGGTAAAAAGAGCATGGACCACCGTAGCCAGATCAGACTTCCCAAGGTATGGTCACAACTGGTGCGCAGCTAATGCACAACAATGATCTATTGTCATTGTTGTTTTGATGTGTGAGTTTTGTCCATGTAAGGCACTGAATTTTGTCATTGGTTATGTTGGGAACTGCTTTGAGTCCCCCCAGGGGTGAGAAAAGTGGTATATAAGTGCAATAAATGAATAATTTACCTTCTGATTCTGTATGGAGGAAAAGTCAGGCATCCAGACATGGACATTCTCAACCCCATGGGAGGGAGGGAGATTCCTTAGCTGCTCTGCCAGATACTGTTAAGAACATTACCTCTGCAACACGTAGACCTTCGAAAAGGCACTCATATGTATTGTCAGACTTCTTAGCTGGGTGCCAAGAAGGCAGAGCACCTACATGGCCACAGCCTTTAGCTTTCATACCTCATAACAGATCCCAGGCTGATTCCGCTTTTGGAAATTCTGTTCTGTATTCTTGGAAAATTCGTAAATATACTTAAGTAAACACAGTTTGCATATAGTAGAGCCCGCAGTGGCACAATGATTTAAACCCTTGTGTTGGCAGGATTGAAGACCGACAGGTCGGAGGTACCAATCTGGGGAGAGCGGGTTGAGCTCCCTCTGCCAGCTCTAGCTCCCCATGTGGAGACATGAGAGAAGCCTCCCACATGGATGGTAAAACATCACAAACATCTGGGCATCCCCTGAGCAACGTCCTTGCAGATGGCCAACTCTGTCACACCAGAAGCGACCTGTAGTATCTCAAGTTGCTCCTGACGCACACACACACACAATAGAATCTGGGAAAGGGGAAAAATATATGGGGATTTTGGTTCCCCTGGCAGGACCAACTATATAATGTAATATAATGTATTGTATATACATATAATATTTATAATATTATAATGTAATGCAATATAATACTAATACTAATAATATATTATAATTATATATCTGTATTACATGTAATATTACTAATAATATCACAATATAATTGCATAATACAATATAGTAGTAATTAATACTGATTTTGTACTATGCTAATAATGTAATATATTGTATGTATATATATCTTGTAAGCCGCTCTGAGTCCCCTTTGGGGTGAGAAGGGCGGCATATAAATGTCACAAATAAATAAATAAATAAATAATATTGTTCTCTGACACAGGTGATTCTATTTTGGGGCTTGCACAAATCTTGGCCCGGCCTTTTAAATTTTTTAATTGCCTTGAACAGGCAGGATTACTTTTAATATATGTGTGTTATGGCGACAATATTTATGCTTATATTTTGTTTTGTTAATCTTATGGTTATGTTGTTTTTACTTTGTATATTTTGTGATGTTACCTGGGAACCGTCTTGAGTCCCCTCAGGGAAATGAAGCAATAAATAAATAAATAAATAAATAAAATAAAATAATAATAATAATAATAATTATTATTATTATTATTATTATGACATGCTTCTGAAATACATGTTACAGTGTTGGATCGAATCAGATCCTATTCCCATTCATTTTGAGTGTCCTAGCACTGAAACAGCTTCAGGGTCTTAGTTCTTTGTTTGGATTTTCCCTTTATAAAAGTCATACCCAGCCTGATACATTTTAAGTGTATTGGACTCTAGTTTGCTAAGCTGATGGGAATGCTGGAAGTCATAATCCAGCACCTCCGGGAGTTACCAAGCTGAGAAAGGCTGCTTTAATTGTTTCTATGGAGACAGCCATGTCTCCCAGAAAATTGTTCTCTGGGTCAAGTCTGGTTGCTGTTCATTGTTTAACCATGTGCTAACAGCGCTTCTCTTTTCTTCCCAGATTAACCTCAGTAAGGTCGGTGAATACTGGTGGAGTGCCATTTTGGAAGGGGAAGAGCAGATCGACATTGGCAAAATTAATAAGGAACGCTCAATGGCCACAGTAGATGAAGAAGAGCATGCTGTGCTGGACAGACTGTCTTTTGACTACCACCAGAAGCTGCAAGGCAAGCCACAGAGCCACGAGATGGTACGTTTGTTGGTACAGTCCTAGGAAATAGTTTGACTTGCAGGTCATTTCTTAAAAGGCATTTCACTTCAAGCATTCCCAATCTGATGCTATTTTATGATTTGCTATATATGAGGAACACTTTGGTTGTACCCTTCCTCAGGGATAGTTGGTGGGCTTAAACAAAACTGAGTGTCCTTGGTTATTGGAGGCATTTCTGAATGTAATTCCAGACTGCTTATGAGGGAAACATGCAATGAATAGATAGACTCCTACTTGGAATGATATGTGGACTCCCAATTACTGTCTTCATGATTCATGTTCTGGAGATATCCGATCCAGCTCTAGGGGAAGTTTTATTAAGAACAGACAGCATGGCAAGCAGAGCCAAAGCCCTAAGTAAGACATGGCGCTATTCACATCAGAGGCGGGTGAACCTGTGCCTCCAAAATGTAGTTGGATTTCACAACCCAGCAGTATCAGCTATCCAAGGGAAAAATGAAAGGGATAGTAGTTTGTGAGCACCTGGAGGGCCACAGACTCTTCAACCCTTGATATCTCTTAGACTTTTAGTCAAACATACAAAAAAAGATATTACACACTTGCATAAAACAAAAAAAGAAAATATGAAATTAGAAGTAGCAAAAAGTGCAAAGTAAAAACCCACCACCATAAAAAAAAAGAAACCTAAACAATTTTCCATACATATAAAACTAAAGCTAAGCAGTTTTCCGAATGAAGAGCAGAGTGTTTGAGGACCAGGACATCTGTAGTGAGACAAAGGTGCTTGTTTATAAAGCTATTGTCCTCCCAACCCCGCTATACGCCTGCGAGACGTGGACTATCTACAGACATCACATGCAACTCCTGGAACGATTCCATCAGCGTCTCCAAAAATCCTGCAAATCTCTTGGGAAGACAAGCGGACAAATGTCAGTGTGCTGGAAGAAGCAAAGACCACAAGCATTGAAGCGATGGTTCTCCGCCATCAACTCCTCTGGACCGGCTTCTCCAGGGAAGCAGAAAACAAGCTTGCTCCCTCCTCCCTGTGGCTTCCTCTCACATATTTATACATGGCTATCATATCTCCTCTCAGCCTTCTCTTCTTCAGGCTAAACATGCCCAGCTCCTTAAGCCACTCCTCATAGGGCTTGTTCCCCAGGCCCTTGATCATTTTAGTCACCCTCCTCTGGACACATTCCAGCTTGTCAATATCTCTCTTCAATTGTGGTGCCCAGAATTGGACACAATATTCCAGGTGTGGTCTAACCAAAGCAGAATGGAGGGGTAGCATTACTTCCCTAGATCTAGACACTATGCTCCTATTGATGCAGGCCAAAATCCCATTGGCTTTTTTTGCCGCCACATCACATTGTTGGCTCATGTTTAACTTGTTGGCTCATGTTTAACGTGTCATTTTGTTAGTTTTGGCCAATCATCTCTCTAATCTGTCAAGATCATTTTGAATTCTGCTCCTGTCCTCTGGAGTATTGGCTATCCCTCCCAATTTGGTGTCGTCTGCAAACTTGATGATCCTGCCTTCTATCCCTTCATCTAAATCATTAATAAAGATGTTGAACAGGACCGGGCCCAGGACGGAACCCTGCGGCACTCCGCTCGTCACTTCTTTCCAAGATGAAGAGGAAGCCTTGGTGAGCACCCTCTGAGTTCGTCCATTTAACCAATTACTGATCCACCTCACTGTAGTTTTGCCTAGCCCACATTGGACTAGTTTCCTTGCCAGAAGGTCGTGGGGGACCTTGTCGAAGGCTTTACTGAAATCCAGGTACGCTACATCCACGGCATTCCCCGCATCTATCCAGCTTGTAACTCTATCGAAAAAAGAGATCAGATTAGTCTGGCATGACTTGTTTTTGATAAATCCATGTTGACTATTAGCGTTGATCGCATTTGTTTCTAAGTGTTTGCAGACCACTTCCTTAACAATATTTTCTAGAATCTTGCCTGGTATCGACATGAGGCTGACTGGACGGTAATTGTTTGGGTCATCCTTTTTTCCCTTCTTGAAGATTGGGACCACATTGGCCCTCCTCCAGTCTGCTGGAACTTCTCCCGTTCTCCAAGAACTCTCAAAGATAATTGCCAGTGGTTCCGAAATGACTTCCGCTAGTTCCTTCAGTACTCTTGGGTGTAGTTGATCTGGCCCTGGGGACTTGAACTCATTTAGAGCGGCCAGGAAGAGACCTCTTGGGCCATCCAGTCCAACCACCTGTCAAGAATGGCTTCAAACTACAGGAAATGAGATTTTAAATTGGCTTCCTGTCCCTTGTATCCTGTGGGGCTTAGTGCAGAACATTAGGATTCCATGGAAAGAAGTGGTTTTAAATTGGCTCCCTGTCCTTTGTATCCTATGGGGCTTAGCGCAGAACATTAGGATCCCATGGAAAGAGGTGGTTTTAAGCTGGATGGGGATGGGGGTATTGTCTCCTGTGAAGGGGTGGCTCCTCTCACCCCTCCCCCTCCCCTCTTCTTCCAGAGACGCTCCCCTCTGCAGCCCCCCCCCCCCGCGTCACTTGCATCTCTCACTTGCAGCAGCCTCCTTTGCCCAATGGCCAGGAACCCCCCCCCTCCCCACACACTTCATCCATTGTTTGTTTCTCCTCTTCCCTTCTCTCGAGCCTGCCTGCCCAGCATTGGCGGAGGCGGCTGGGGGCAATTGGAAGGGGCCTCTGAAAAGTCGCCAGGCTCAGGGAGGAGGAGCTGGGAGGCCAGAAGGGAGGCCTGTCGCCACCTTCTCTCTACTGACTTCCTTGTGGGCCATGGCTGCTGCTGTTTTTGTGAGGCTCCAAGCTTCCTTTGACTGGAAGCTCTAAAAAGTGTCAGAAAAGCCAGGAAGCCATGGGGGGGGGGGGGCGCTGAAGGAGGAATCGGCGACCCCTCAGAAATGGCTGAATGACCCCCCTGGAGGTCGTGACTCCCAGGTTGAGAAACACTGCTCTAGATTTAAAGAGATGTCAAATTTATTTATTTATTTAAAACATTTATATTCCGCCCTTCTCACCCCGAAGGGGACTCAGGGCGGAGCACAGCATATGCACGGCAAAGATTCAATACCGGGACACAAATTCACATACAATACATAAACATTAAAAAAACTTTTATCAAAATATTAAAAATACACCATTAAAACCGTCCTAGTCACCCGCGTCAAATCAATTGGTTTGGTCATCTTTCCTATTGCCGCTTTATTGCCCTGTCCCGAAAGCTTGGTCCCACAGCCAAGTCTTTACCATCATTCTAAAGGACTGGAGGGAGGGGGCCTCCCTCCTGTCATCAGGAAGGGAGTTCCATAGCCGAGGAGCAATCACCGAGAAGGCCCTGTCTCTCGTCCCCACCAATCGCACCTGTGACAATGGCGGGACGGAAAGCAGGGCCTCTCCGGAGGATCTTAATCTCCACGATGGTTCATAGGGGGAGATGCATTCGGACAGGTAATTTGGGCCGAGGCCGTTTAGGGCTTTATATGCCAAAGTCGGCACTTTGAATTGTGCCCAGTAGCAAACTAGCAGCCAGTGGAGCTGGCGCAGCATGGGAGTTGTATGCTCCCTGTATGCAGTGCTTTTTGCTGCCATCTTGAATTCCACTTGTGGCTAGCACTTTCTTGGGAACTGTATGAAAAGCATCTTGTTCCACATTTTCAAACCTTGATAATGCCATTAGTGGGAGCACAGCGAGTGTGTATGAGAATCCTGGAGTTTACCAATTCTGGTTGTCAGTGCTGGACGCAGGGCAGATGTGTTGCTCGCAACACTTGCATTCACAAGGACATTATTGCACACATTTAAAAATGTATCTTCTGTTTTGATTGAATTTGGGGGAAAAAAGAATGAGGATGAGGATGCTTGCCATAGATGCAGGCGAAACGTCAGGAGAAAAATTGCCTCCAGAACATGGCCATATAGCCCGGGAAAAACCTACAACAAACCAATGTAAAAAGTATTCTTAAAACCTGCAAGTATAAATTAAAACATTCAGGCACAAATGCAAAATAAAACAACAGCATTATAGCGATATTTGGATGACTGAACTCAGCCAAACATGATTCCATCTTATTTGAAATGTTGCTTGAAAGGAAACATCTTAATAACCTTGTTAAAAGCTAAGCTTCCAGATCCGCTTTTATATTCCATAAAGGCAAGTTGGCAATAAAAATGTTTTATTAATTGTGAAAGACAATCTGTCTTCTGAAGGAAGGAATATACATAAAAATGATTCAGTGACCTCCAGTAATATAGGAAGTCTATATAGGAAAGCGGTTCTTCCTGAGCACACATATGCATGTTTTCTTGCATAAAGAGTTGGTCTGCAACTCAAAAAACAAAGTCTTCTTCCGTGTAATATACTTCAGCTCTCAGATTCTGTGTCACCTCTTCCAGGTGTCTCAGTACAAAACATCAGCGTTTATATGCATTAATAATTTGCTGTTGTTTTTAATGCAATTCAAAATGTCACAAGAACTTTCTATTTGAGTCTTGAGGACATACGTGAGAGGAAAAATTTGGTACAAATTGATTTTTTAAAAAAAACCCTTTTCTGGGCATTAAAATTGCTGAGGCTTCCCTAAGGTACACTGTAGGTTTATGATTCAATAGTTTATGATTCTGTAGTCTTTTTTTAAGGAGGCCCTGGTAGTGCAGTGGGTTAAACCGCTGAGCTGCTGAACTTGCTGACCGAAAGGTTGCCAGTTCAAATTCGGGGTGAGCTTCCGCTGTTAGCCCAGCTTCTGCCAACCTAGCAGTTTGAAAACATGCAAATGCAAGTAGATCAACATTTATTTATTTGTTTATTTGTTTGTTTATGATATTTCTATCCTGCCTTTCTCAGCCAGGGGCGATTCAAGGCGGCTTAACAGTTGGCAGCGATTCAGTGCCATAACAATCACAGTGTACAATTTAAAACATATTAATAAACATTATAAAATCCATACAAAACTATTAAAAACATAAAAATATCTGATGTCTTACTGTTAATCACATTTTCCAGTAGCATCGTCTAAGCTTACAAACTTACATATTTCCATATTTGTCTTATTGCCCTGCATTTCCAAAAGCCAGGTTTTTACTTTTTCCGGAAGGTCAGGAGGGTGGGGGCCGATCTAATACCCCAAGGGAGGGAGTTCCATAGCTGAGGGGCCACCAATAGGTACTGCTCCGGCGGAAAGGTAACGGTGCTCCATGCAGTCATGCTGGCCACATGACCTTGGAGGTGTCAATGAACAATGCCGGCTCTTCAGCTTTGAAATGGAGATGAGCATCAACCCCCAGGATCAGACACAACTGGACTTAATGTCAGGGAAAACCTTTACCTCGTATTCTTTTTTAAAAAAACCTCTTCTCGAGTTGGTCTTGTGTTTAAGACTTAGCTGTTTCTGAAATTGTCAAGCGTGCATACTAATGCAATTACTTTTGGGTTACCATCTCCAATATAAACAGGCCAGCAGAACGTTGGATAAGTGAAAATGTTGGATAATAAGGAGCGATTAAAGAAAAGCCTATTAAACGTCAAATTACATTATGAATTTACAAATTAAGCACCAAAACATCATATTTTACAACAAATTGACAGAAAAAGAAGATCAATACACAGTAATGTTATGTAGTAATTACTGTATTTACAAAATTAGCACCAAAACATCGCAGTGAATTGAAACCGCTATGGATGCGGGTGAGAACAAGACTGCGTTGGATAATACAGAATGTTGGATGAGTGAAGATTGGATAAGCGAGAATCTACTGTATGTTAAAAAGGGAAGCAAAGGTGGAGGAAAGGAGAATATAGGACCCAAACAATATGATTATTTTTGTTGTCATGAACCAAGGTGACATTCAAATGCAATCTCTGTGATTCTTTGCTTCATTGAATATTCAAACTAGTCCAGTGTTGGCTAGGCAAAACTACGGTTAGGTGGATCTGTAATTGGTTAAGTGGACGAATCCAGAGGGTGTTCACCAATGCTTCCTCTTCATCCTGGAAAGAAGTGACGAGCGGAGTGCCGCAAGGTTCTGTCTTGGGTCCGGTCCTGTTCAAAATCTTTATTAATGATTTAGATGAAGGGTTAGAAGGCAGGATCATCAAGTTTGCAGACGACACCAAATTGGGAGGGATAGCCAATACTCCAGAGGACAGGAGCAGGATTCAAAACGATCTTCACAAATTAGAGAGATGATTGGCCAAAACTAACAAAATGAAGCTCAATAGTGACAAATGCAAGATACTCCATGTAGGCAGAAAAAATGAAATGCATCGATACAGAATGGGGGACGCATGGCTCAAGAGCAGTACATGTGAAAAAGATCTCGGGGTCCTCGTGGACAGCAAGTTAAACATGAGCCAACAATGTGATGCGGCGGCAAAAAAAAAACGAATGGGATTTTGACCTGCATCAATAGGAGCATAGTGTCTAGATCTAGGGAAGTCATGCTACCCCTCTAGTCTGCCTTGATCAGACCACACCTGGAATGTTGTGTCCAATTCTGGGCACCACAATTGAAGGGAGATATTGACAATAATAATAATAATAATAATACTTTATTTATACCCCGCCATCATCTCCCCAAGGGACTCGGAGCAGCTTACATGAGGCCAATCCCAACAACACATCAATAAAACAAGAAAGCAATAAACAAAAACAATACAATTAGTATAAATCACATATAAACAATAACACACAAAGATTTAAAAACCTATGGCCGGGCCAAATGTAATAATTTAAAATTAAAAATAAATACTGGGCGTGAACAAGGTAGGATATATCATCATCATCATCACCATCATCATCATATTTAATTACTTATTAATCGCCCTCCATCCGAGAATGCTCTAGGCGATTTACAGCTAAATTGTAAAAGATAAAATACATACATACAGAATTTAAAAATTAACAGAGATTGAATGCTCTAGTAAAAAGCCAGGTATATCTGGTAGGAAGGTTTTAAAAGAAGTGAGGGGAGCGCAATCCAACAAATAGTTAAAGTGCATTCTGAGGACATTTTGCTAGGAATTATTTCCTTATTCCGGGAAGCTGGAATGTGTCCAGAGGAGGGCGACTAAAATAATCAAGGGTCTGGAGAACATGCCCTATGAGGAGCAACTTAAAGAGCTGGGCATGTTTAGCCTGAAGAAGAGAAGGCTGAGAGGAGACATGATAGCCATGTATAAATACGTGAGAGGAAGTCATAGGGAGGAGGGAGCAAGCTTGTTTTCTGCTGCCCTGGAGACTAGGACGCAATGGAACAATGGCTTCAAACTGCAAGAAAGGAGAACATTAGGAAGAACTTCCTGACTGTGAGAGCTGTTCAACAGTGGAACTCTCTGCCCTGGAGTGTGGTGGAGGCTTCTTCTTTGGAGGCTTTTAAATGGAGCCTGGATGACCATCTGTTGGGGATGCTTTGAATGCAATTTTCCTGCTTCTTGGCAGAAGGGGATTGGACTGGATGGCCCATAAGGTCTCTTCCAACTCTATGATTCTGATTTTGATTACACTTCACTGCAGTGTTTAGAAGTATTTTGCTGGGGTTGGTTAACTGGCATGGCAGTCTTAGAACTAATCCATCTGCGGGCCCCTTAGTACCACAGGACCCTAACTTGACTGTTTTGTCCTTTCAGAAAGTCCACGAGATGCTCAAGAAGGGCTGGGATGCTGAGGGGTCTCCCTTCCGAGGCCAGAAATTCGATCCTTCCATGTTCAATATCTCTCCTGGGGCTGTGCACTTTTGACGATGGCCACGAAGAGGAGAGAATCACCTCCGTGTTTGGGAACCAGGGGCGAAATCAGTGCCACGGCACAACTCCTTCCTCTTTCTCCACGCCAAGGAGCCCCTTGGTCCCTGTGCGATGTTCTATGGGCTCGTTTTGTAAAAAATGAGAGACTGTTTAAATGGCCAGAGTGTGAGCTTTGTTGTTGTTGTTTTTTCCTGAGAAGGGGAGACGTCATGCGAGCGGGGAGGGTGGGTCCATCCTTTCTTCCAGCACCAGCTTGGTGCATTTGATATGTATGTGGGGGAAACCTAGCGCAAGCAGCATTACGTACTGTGTCACCAAGGCAACCGGTGGCTGCTGGTAGTGTTTCCTCTTCTCTCTTGTTAATGGATTCAATTGCTGTTGCAGGGAGGTAGGTTGGAGGCAGCTTTTTCTTCCCTCGCCAGATTTCAGAAACAGATGCAGTTGGGTGAAAATGGTGGCAGCTTCATTTGCGTGTTCATTATGTGGTGGCATCTTTAGGGCAACTCTACCTTCTTTATACAACCACAATCTTCAATTGGTGTCATTTCAGCAACATTTAGATCAGGCATGGGCAAACTTTGGCTCTCCAGGAGTTTTGGGCTTCAACTCCTACAATTCCTGGTCTCAGGCCTTTTCGTTTCCCCCCTCAGCCGCTTAAGGGCCTGAGACCAGGAATTGTGGGAGTTGAAGTCCAAAACACCTGAGAAGGCTGATCTAGATTCTTAAATGTGATCCTTGAGGCTCCCAGAGCAAAATATCAATGTTGCAGGCTCAAAGGAATAGTAGAACACAGAACAGAAGTGCCGCAGCACAACTCCACAGCACAATCAGTGCCATGGCACAACTCCTTCCTCTTTCTCCACGCCAAGGAGCTATAGTGTGTAAAGCACAAGCATAGGATGTTCTCCAGAGTTCTTTCTCCATTATCGGTTGTTTGCCCCAGAAGAAAAGCCGTTCATGGCAGTTACTATTTTCACTGGGTAGGGTGTTATGTCAGGCCTGATTGCCTTCCTCTTCTGTGGCTACACAAAGATAACACAAAAAGGCAGCAGGTAGGTAAAAAGCATTTGCACATTTCTTTGGAATATGGTTTGCCTCTGAAATGCATGTAGTAAATGTAGATTTGGGCAGCCAATTTATGGCAGTGATTGAGCTGAAGAATAATTTTCCTGCTATGAGGGCCTTTTCTTTTGTGTCATTGTGTCAGGAGACAAAGAGTGGGGTTTAAACCCTTTCACATAATCATGTTTTTCCCAAGAGGAAGGAAGGTCTAATCTTACTCTTTGTGTAAGTATTCAAATGAAACTAAGTTGTTGTGTGTTTTCCAGGCTGTACGACCATGTTCCAAAAGCATTCTGTCCTGATGTTTCGCCTGCATCTATGGCAGGCATCCTCAGAGGTTGTGAGGCCTCACAACCTCTGAGAATGCCTGCCATAGATGCAGGCAAAACAATAGGAGAGAATGCTTCTGGAACATGACCATACAGCCCTGAAAATACACAACAACCCAGTAATTCTGGCCATGAAAGCCTTCGACAAATGAAGTGTTACCATGCCAAAAATAAAAAAATCACCAGACAGTGTCTTCGGATGGTTGTCTTTTTCACCATTTGGTTTGTATAAAGCTATTTCTGCTCATTCTAACATCAGCAGACAACCTCAAGTGGGTTAAAGCAAAATATGCTGGAAATATCAAGAGCAGTGGAGTTTTCAAGATCATTCTAGGGCAGGAAGGGCAGCACCTGACCCTCCAAGTGTTGGACTGAAATTCCCATCACCCACCCACCCCCATTCAACAACAACTCAGCTGCTATCAAGACCTCAAAATTGAACTGCAAAGGCTCTGGCATAAACCAGTACAGGTGGTCCCAGTGGTCATTGGTGCACTGGGTGCCGTGCCAAAATATCTCAGCTGGCTTTTGGAGACACTAAACATCGACAAAATCACGATCTGTCAACTGCAAAAGGCCACTTGACTTGGATCTGCGCACATCATTTGAAAATACATCACACAGTCCTAGATGCTTGGGAAGTGTTCGATTTGTGATTTTGTGATACGAAATCCAGCATATAGATCTCGTTTGCTGTGACATTCTGTGCTTTTGTGTCAATAATAATAATAATAATAATAATAATAATAATAATAATAACTTTATACCCTACCACCATCTTCCCAAGGGGACTTGGAGCGGCTTACATGAGGCCAGGCCCAACAATACAACAGTATAACCAGCTCAGCAATAAAGTAAAACAAAAAATAAAATACAATACAAAAACCATTATAAATAACATATCAGCAATAAGACACAACATTTAAAAACAAGTATCCAACACTGTGGGCAGGGCCAAATTCTAATAGAATTTGGGATTGTAGGCTCAAAAAATCTGATGAGCCACAAGTTGCCAACTCCTAGCCTATGGCATGTATATCTTTGATCTTTGTTAGTTCCATCATCAATCTCCTGGTATAAAGTATTTTAATGTGACTTGGTTGTGATTGACAAATAAGGAAAATAGTTGTGCCAAATTCAATACACATCTAATTGTCAGTAAAAACTGGAATTAAAATCAGATGTTCAAGAACAGCTTTGACACAGCTTGAGTTTAATTGAGGAGGCCTTTCGGTAGGTGTGCCTTTGCTGTCAGACATTTGTAATCAGTTGGGTGTTTACATATTGCTGCATCAGCTGTTCAGTGCCAAAAATGGGGCACATTGTTGATAAATCCTTTTGACTTTTGAATAAGTAAATGTGGCAATCCTTGCATTTTCGGAGAAGTAGGAAACAAGCTCGACAATGGAAGTCTCGAAGAGGTTTTAGTCTGACGTCTCCTATCACTGCGAGCTTTGAAGAAGAGGGAAGATGGCTTATATCTGACTGCCATTTAAAAAATGAAGGCAATAGAAATTATCAATTGGGTTCTACACTACTGGGAAGCTTGTTGCCTTTCAGCAAAAGTTAACTTAAAGGTGTCATCTGCACCTGGCCTGAGCCATTTGGAGTCAGAAATATTGGAATCAGATTCTGGCAGAAATAGTGATGCATCTCAATGGTGTTTGTATTTTTAGCTTTGACTGTTTTCATAGCAGGCTCATCCCTTCATCGTCTGCTTAGCTTCATTTTGGAGGCATATCGTTCATTTCTTTTTTACTCTTCCTTGAATACGTAAATAATGCAATACTGACATTGTATATACTTCATTAGATTGGCCAGGAGGTGAATTTTGAGAATGTGCTGTAAAATGCAAGTAACAGCCATTGTCTTGGAAGGAAGCAGCCGCTCTGTTTTGTGTTTTCTCACATACTCCAACCCATGCTAGGGCCATATTGGCTGTTGGAAGGGCAGAGAGTTTTAGTGGATGCTTTTGTGTGTCTTTTTTTCTTTAGAAGTCAAAGTATGCAGAGAGAGAAGCACCTGACATCATTGCCAGTCCCTGCCAAGATTCTGTTGGTTTCTCATTGGTTCCGCATCATGACACTTTGTCTTTTGAACAGGTTATTTCATGCTTGCTGTAGCCCACGTCCCAAACATCACGTTTTGGACTGATCTACTTCCTCTTTACAACTTGACCCTAAACGAAACACACACCCAGCAAGCAGTGTTGCATTTTCCTGGTGTGTGAGAAGGAGAGGAAAGGCAGCTAATAGTTCTCCTCAAAAGAAGGCAAGCAGGAGGCAACAGGGTTGAGCTGCCGATCAGCATGCCTCCTTTTAAAATAATAATTTATTGTTTCTAAAGCACCTACAAATCAACTAGGCAAGGGTTGTAAGGTTTGTCTAAAGAACTGTGGGTGGTTCTCTAGCAGCTCACTTGCTGTGAGGAGTTCGAGTTGGACTTGGCAAGACTTTAGCTCCCCTTCGGCTTTGTAACGCATTTGTATGTCAGCCTCCCCTCAGCTTTCAGTTGTTAAATGTGACCCTACATCTTGGAAATATGTTTGTGAGTATCCAACTGCAGCCGACTGGGTTTTGGCTCCTGTAGGAATGGAGCACCCTGCAGCTCCCGTGGGCTCTGAGTATAGCTGGGAAGCTGCCTTTGAGAAATCTCCCAAGTAGGAAGACCCACGTGGAAGCCTTCCTATAGGCATTCCACCCTCAACTTTAGGAATGAAAGAGCACAGCTTCACTCTTGTCCCAACATTTTTCCAACATTTTCCCATTTTTGTAGAAAAGGCAAGGGAGGACAAGGTACATCAGATCCCTTTAGCAGTTGTGTCTAGCCCAGTGTTTCTCAACCTGGGGGTCGGGACCCCTGGGGGGGGTCGCGAGGGGGTGTCAGAGGGGTCACCAACTACCATCAGAAAACACAGTATTTTCTGTTGGTCATGGGGGTTTTGTGTGGGAAGTTTGGCCCAATTCTATCATTAGTGGGGTCCAGAATGCTCTTGGGTTGTAGGTGAACTATAAATCCCATAACTACAACTCCCAAATGTCAAGGTCTGTTTTCCCCAAACTCCACCAATGTTCACATTTGGGCATATTGAGTATTCTTGCCAAGTTTGGTCCAGACCCATCATTGTTTGAGTCCCCAGTGCTCTCTGGATGTAGGTGAACTGCAACTCCAAAACTCAAGGTCAGTGCCCACCAAACCCTTCCAGTGTTTTCGGTTAGTCATGAGGGTTCTGTGTGCCAAGTTTGGTTTAATTCCATCACTGGTGGAGTTCATAATGCTCTTTGATTGTTAGGTGAACTATAAATCCCAGCAACTACAACTCCCAAATGTCAAGGTCTATTTTCTCCAAACTCCACCAGTGTTTGCATTTGGGCATGTTGAGTATTCGTGCCAGGTTTGGCCCATATCCATCATTGGGTGAGTCCACAGTGCTCTCTGGATGTAGGCGAACTACAACTCCAAAATTCAAGGTCCATGCCCACCAAACCCTTCCAGTATTTTCTGTTGGTCATGGGAATTCTGCGTGTTAAGTTTGGTTCAATTCCATCATTGATGGAGTTGAGAATGCTCTTTGATTGTAGGTTAACTACAAATCCCAGCAACTACAACTCCCAAATGACAAAAACAATCCCTCTCAACCCCATTTGGGTGAATTGGGCATTTGTGCCAAATTTGGTTCAGTGAACGAAAATACATCCTGCATATCTGATATTTACATTACGATTCATAACAATAGCAAAATTACAGTTACGAATTAGCAATTAAAATAATTTTATGG